AAAGCCTTCGTTGGGAACAAACACCCAAACAGGAAGCGGCTGGTTTTAATGTAGACTAAACAAAATAAAAGCCTTCGTTGGGAACAAACGCCCAAACCGGAAGCAGCTGGTTTTAATGTAGACTTATCAAAATAAAAGCCTTCGTTGGGAACAAACACCCAAACAGGAAGCAGCTGGTTTTCATGTAGACTTATCAAAATAAAAGCCTTCGTTGGGAACAAACACCCAAACAGGAAGCAGCTGGTTTTCATGTAGACTTATCAAAATAAAAGCCTTCGTTGGGAACAAACCTCGGTCGGTCAAACAAACGTAAAAGAAATCTTGAAAATGGAGACTTTAATCCAAAATGTCCGACACGATGAGTAAAAGTAAACCGGAGAACGTCCCCGTGTAATCTGTGAGCAGAGCCGGGTTTCAAACATCTGTTATGGACCTGAAACCCTTCAGAACCGTTGCAGGAGGAGGTCTGGACCGGACTTCACGCTGCCTCGTGTGTCTGCTTGACCTCTGACCTTTGAGCAGAAGTTTGTCGCCGCAGGTTGAAACAGTTTTCCTCCACTTCCTGTTCGCTGCAGGAACCTGACTCAGGTGGGTTTTAAGGTGAAATGTTCTGACCCGTGGGAGCTTCTGGTTCTTCTCGACGTCCAGGATGGGGTCGAGGGTCGTGTGGTGTCTCCTGGAGGAAGTGAGAGGTGTTTGATGTTGGAGCTGTAAATACGAGCTGCTTGTTTTTATTTGTGATTGTGAAGCAGCCGAAAGCAGCCCCCGTTGGAACGTTCTCCGGCCCGTGGTGACTCTGTGAGCCTCGTGGTGTTTGTGACGGAGCGTGCTCGGTGCGGACGTCTCGCAGCGTTTGGCCAATTCGTTTATTTAAATTAATTTTGATGTCCGAACTCAGCTGGAGCTAACGTGCAACGTTTCCTCTCTTCTGTGTTTATTTCTTATTTCAAACAGGCAGTTGCAGCTGAAGGTTTGCACTTCTTTAGCTGATGTGATGGATCGACATTAAACGAGTTTTCAAGAAGTATATCTCTTGTTTCTCTTTAACTTCTCTTCAGCCATTGGCTCTGTTTTTGTCTTCTTATGCTACATTTAGCTTTTAGCTACTGTTCTGCAACTTTTAGCTACTGTTTTGAGCCTCTATTCGGCTCATTTCAGTTCTTGTTCTGCTCGTTTTGACCGTACTGTCAGTTTTAGCCCTTTGAGTAAATTTTAGTCATAGAGTGCTTCACACTGTTTCCACAGAAAATACTTAAAAAATATCATTGGCACGGTGGACACGTTGTTGGAGCTGTCGCCTCACAGTGAGACGGTCACAGGTTTGCCCCCCATGGACCAAAAACATGCATGTTAGGCTAACTGATGGTGTCTCTGCTTGTTTCGTGGTGCATTCAGGTGCAAAGTCCCGTGCATGAAATGACCGTTTCCTGTTAAAGTTTGAATTGGTCTTCAGTCTGAGTTACCATGGCAACCGGAGCAGACAGGTGATGGATGTTTAAAACGTCTCATCTGTTGGTCCAGTTTAAGATGATGAAGGCAGCCATGTTTTTTTAATTTTACATGCTCGGTGCAGCAGCAGGAAACCCCGCTCCGTGTGTGTGTGTGTGTGTGTGTGTGTGTAACGCAGCATATTGACGCCGTCCCGTGGCGTGAGCGTGGCGACGGATGTCGTGTTACGGTGTGAGCAGGCAGCAGACGTTGGCGGCTCACAGATGGGGGGAATCGGTGGTGGCGCACGCTGGGTGTGAAAATGTGCAGCCGTCGATCCACACGGCGCCTCTGTGAGCCCGTTTGTTCAGCAGGAAACGTTTTATTTCATTTAACAACGTAAATAATTCAGTTCAGACGTCTGGAGGTCCAAACAGAACCTAAATGTTCTGTTGGTGTCGGGTTGAGAAACGGTGGCTTCCAGTTTCTGTTGGAGCTCCGCTTGTCTGAGTCTGATGTGAGGCGCCGCAGGAAACTAAAACGTCTGATTTCCTCTGAACGCAGCGTCAGCTTGGACCCGAGTTCTTGTGAAGTCTGAGGGTTGATCCAGTTCCTGGTCTCTCCTCTCATGGAGGGTTCTCCTATGGACAGGAAGTTCTGATCACATGAGCACACTCTGCTTTAGAAGAACCCCGAGCCGTCACATGGTGCCGGTTCAGGTTCTGCCTGAAACCCGACAGGTTTTAAAGTAGAGCCCAGTTCCTGCTCAGCTTCTTGGACTACATGTTTACATACGCACGTTTAACTCACAGAGGATGAAGGCAACAAATAAATAATTAAATTAATTGATTATTAACAAACGTACCTTCTGCTCCTCCGGCGCCCTGGATGCAGCTCTGCTCCACTCAGAGGCTGCGGTAGCTCTGTGTCTGTGGTTGTGTCAGGAAGAACATCTGCGTTAAAACAACCACCAAGTCTTCATGAGAGTTAGTTCTGTGGTGACCCCTGGCCCTGAAGAAGGAGCAGCTGAAAGAAGAAGAGAAAAAGATGAATGAACATCTGGTCATTTTGGATCTGATGGCAGCGACCCGTCTCAAAAAGTTCTTTCAGGGGCTGTAAAGGGCTGTGTGGTCCGGATCAGAACCAGCTGGAGGAAGTTACTGAGGAGAACTATCAGCAGCTCAGTCTGAGACTGTTAGAAGTAAAGATGGGCAGAGGTTCAGCAGTCTGTCTAAAACTAGAGGAACTCTTTCAGAATAAAGGTCCTGAATAAAAACTTTAATCTCCATCATCTCCAGATCATAATCTGATCCACAGATTAGAAGAACCTGAAGAACACTGAGCTCAGAGGACGAAGCCCTCAGGGGCTCCTGCAGGAAAACTAGGTCTGGTTCTGTTCGCACACAGTTCATCCACAGAAGCTCTATCAGACAAAGAAGCCAGATGTGAACACCATCCAGAACCTCTGCTGTCCTCTCTGGACCAGATCTCACTTCAAATGGACTGAGGTGAAGAACTGTTCTGAGGTCAGACGGGTCCAAATCTAAAGTTCTGTTTGGAAAACACGGACACCTTATCCTCTGGACTAAAGAGGAGAGGAACCATCCAGGTCTGGTATCAGCTCACAGTCCCAACAGTCTGCCTCTCTGATGCTATAGGGGTGCATTAGTGCCTCTAACACATGCAGCTGACACATCTGGAAAGACTCCATCAATACAGTAAAAACATCTGCAGGTTTTAGAACATCTGCTCCATCCAGGATAAGAGCCAGGACTGAGGGACCGCTAGAGTCCTCATCAGACCAGAACGGGACAGAACCTGAACATCTGGTCTCCTGGTCATTCCAGACCGTTGTTGAAGAGCGGGTCTTCCCAGAGGAGACGTGTTGCTGACATCACATGTAAATTATTTCTCCTAAAAATGGTTCAATTTCCAAGTTTCAACGTTAGAAAGTTTCCTTCGTTTCCATCCATTATCTTTACCCGTTTATTCCATTTTGGGTCACGGGGG